TTGGATTAGTCTGCGTAGGCACCGAGGGTGTGCGGTATTGGTCCTCGTTAAACTGTTCTACAGTAAAGTGCTCGACTTCGCATGCAGGTCGTGGGCTACCAAAGCAGGGGAGCAATCCTCTCTGCAGAGGATCAAAATTGTGATGGTATGTCTTCGGATCATCCTCAGGGATGTTTCCCAAACCGTCGCCAATAGCCCATTGTGCAGCTCTAGTGTGACGTAAATGAACAACAACAACATATGTGATTGAATAAATAAATAAATCATTTTCTAATGTAGTACTTAGTTTCAGTTTTGTATTATGTTCTTAAGTGATAATCATTCGTGAGCACTGAATATCTTTAGTGACATTGAGGCACGAACTTGAGATCTTACTCATTGTTTGGTTACTGTCTTTGTGAAAGCATTGGGTGCTATGCGTTCATTAGAATTGATTTCATGTAGTAAATCTACAAACATGTTAGCTTGTTACATTTAGGTTTGCAAAATATTCACGGCTGGCACGTGACTAAAAGTTTGTAGAGTATTCTAGAGTCTAGAGTATTAGTAGAAATTGAATCAAATACCTCTTTCACTTCAAGTGATCAACCAGGTAACAATCCGCATGGCTTCACGGGATTCATGGAAAAGTGTGGGTGTTTTCTGTTCGGAAATTTAATGAACAAATTTTTACTGTTTGTTACATTTCATTACATATTTCATACATAGAACTTCAGGTTTTAAAACAGAGGATTCAATTTTCATCACATCCATGCCATAATCATAATCTTGAATCATATCCATGGCACGATTATAACCATGAATCATAACCGTACCATAGCCATAATCCTTCATTCTATTTTTAGAATATATTCCCTTAAATAGTGCAATTTCTCTTTTAATTTGACAAGTAGTCGTAGTATATTTAAGTCGCACTAGAGCTGCACAATGGGCTATTGGCTGCGATCTGGGAAACATCCCTGAGGATTACCCGAAAACATGCCATCACAATTTTGATATTTTGCAGAGGGGATGCCCTTCCCCCTACCTCCAATAGCCCGAAGACGTGAAAGCGAAGTCGAGCACTTTACGGTGAAACAGATTAGCGAGGACAGATACAGCACACCCTCCGTCCCTTCGTAGTTTGATACAAGTAGTCACCCCACCGCACGCTGACCACAACCGGTGATGCTTGACTTCGGTGATCCGTCTCTTAACCATCAGTCCTCTACGAGATTTCAATTTGACCAAAGCTTATAAGTTATTAAAAATCAAAACCTTGCAAATTTACGTATGAATAAATAAATTAATGACTAGTGTAGTCATAAGACTAAGATTTCTGACTACGAAAAATAAGCTTATAGGTTCGTTCCCGAAGTCACTGAAGGACTCTAGTGATTAAAAGTAGAAAAACTGCTCAAGAGAAATAAAATCAATTACATAGGATGAAACTCAATTCCTCCAGTTCCTCACTTAAACAATGTGATAAGCGCGATATATAATTCCACATCTAGAATGAATTGCTTGATATGCAATTTGTTGTAGTTTTTGTTCATTTACGTCACGCTAGAGCTACACAATGGGCTATTGGCGATGGTCTGGGAAATATCCCTGAGGATGATCCGAAGACATGCCAACACAATTTTGATCCTCTGCAGAGGGTATCACACCCCTGCTTCGGTGGCCCGATGACCTGCACGCGAAGTTGAGCACTTTGCGGTAGAATAGTTTAACGAAGACCAATACCGCACATCCTCGTCCCTACACAGACTTATCCAAGTGGTCACCCACCCGCACACTGACCGCACTCAGTGAGGCTTGACTTCGGCGATCTGCTGGGAACCGTGTCTTAACGATCAGTCCACTGCGGGACTGGTATGCAATTTACCTGCGAGCCTTACGGTTCTTCAGTAACTTGGGTCACAAAATTACGACTATCTCAGTTAAAATATTGAACCTTTTTCTATTGACCATTCCGGCTGTTCAATGATAGATGCTTTAACCTCGAAAAATGAACTAGTAGGGATTATGTCCATGTCAAGTCATTTCAACATACTAAATAGTTATTCAATCAACACCTCCTAGTAGAAGAAAGGCCTCAGCACGGATCCATTTATTAGTCTGACGAAACTAACATAAACTGCGCAGTGAAGTGTAATAAGAAATATGTCACTACATTCGAGTTACCAAGCTGTACACACGAAAAATGTCATTACGTTTGGACTACTTAGAGATTAAATATCTTGCTTATGGTAACCCGTGTTGAGGCCTTCTCTTTTCTAACAGGTGTTGATTAAGTCAGTCATGAATTTGATGTAGGGTAGTAATATTATTCTGTTTAGCATCATACATGGTGTTTTATAATGCCACTGCGAAAAGCAATCATACTAGGTATCCTTTTATATTCATTTGTCCCGCAGTGGACTGATCGTTAAGACACGGTTCCCAGCAGATCACTGAAGTCAAGCATCACTGGCTGCAGTCAGTGTGCGGCTGGGTGACCACTTGGATCAACCTGCGTAGGGACCGAAGGTGTGCGGTATTGGTCCTTGTTAAACTGTTATACCGTAAAGTGCTAAACTTCGCGTGCAGGTCGTCGGGCTACCGAAGCGGGGGTGCCACCCTTTCAGCAGAGAATCAAAATTGTGATGGCATGTCTTCGGATCATCCTCAGGGATGTTTCCCAGACCGTCGCCAATAGCCCATTGTGCAGCTCTAGTGTGACGTAAATGAACAATATGAACATGAACATTTATATTCATTTATATAATTATGTTTCCAATACTTGGGATTGTCTTACATTTAATAAGTCATTTTTTAAAAATAAGAAAGCTGTATTACAAATAACTTGAATTTACAATTAATAATAAAACTTTCAATATTGAGCCCCTTGCATTATTTTAAAAATTAGCTAATAATTTAATTAATCGATAGTTACAGTCGAAATTGAACTTTTATTGTCGTTTGTGTCAACTATATTTGTCCAGCAGTGGACTAATCGTTTAGACACGGCTCCCAGCAGATCGCCGAAGTCAAGCATCACTAGATGCGGTCAGTGTGTGGGTGGGTGACCACTTGGATCAGTCTGCGTAGGGACCGAGGGTGTGCGGTATTGGTCCTCGTTAAACTGTTCTACCATAAAGTGCTCGATTTTGCGTGCAGGTCGTCAGGCGACTGAAGTGGGGGTACCATCCCCTCTGCAGAGGATCAAAATTGTGATGGCATGTATTCGGATCATCCTCAGGGATGTTTCCCAGACCGTCGCCAATTGCCCATTGTACTGCTCTAGGGCGACGTAAATGAACAACAACAAACTATATTTTAAATTTAAATATGAATTATATTTTATATTCAGTAAGATTTTAATTTAAATCCATATATAGACGCTTTAAATTTAATACATTAAATAATTCATTCTTAACCATTGGTAACTGCTATGTTAACGTGGCTCAAAACTGAACAAACAAACAAAAAAATACTGATAATGTTTCAAAACATCTAGCTGCAATTATCTCTGGAAAAAACGCATTCAATTTACTTTGAATATGAACTGAATTTGCAGAACAATATTACTGCTTATTAGGTTCTTGTAAATATGTACTTACTTAGTAAATATAATTTGCTCACACAGCAAGAAGATTATTTTAAAAATCAAACAATTCATCTCGAACATGATGAATCAAGACATGGTTATTTGCTTCTGGGGCTGATGTCTCAGGTTCAAATCCCACAAGCCTTGCAATTGAAAAAAAGAAAACGTAGGTGCTTCATAAAAGTGAAGCATTTACGTTCAGATCAATGTATACCCAAAAAAGGTATAACTGTGCTGAAAGGTCTCAAACTGTATTTTTCGATATTTAAAAACAAAAAAAAGTACCGTGGTAAATGTTAAATTCCAACCAGGTTTTCTTACTGGCACATATAACATACTGATGTAATTAAGCATTTATATTTCGTAATCTGTGCAAATTTATGGGACAGAGCTATAAACTAAGTCTGTAGCAATGGATCTTAATTTAATCTAGTAGCCATAGAGCTAAACAAGAGAAATTTAGCTTTTTTCTTCTCTGTGCAACGCAAATGCGATTTTGCTTTACTTCAAAGTTTCCTCTGAATACACGTTTGTTCAAATATTTGTTACAGAGGCTCCCTCGTTTTCTGAGTTGGGGTCAAAACTTCTAGGTTACTTAATATGATTGTTAAAAAAATTGTCGTATACACTAAATTGATCGATTGCATATCGACAAGTCAAAATATTTTTCTTGAAATTATTATTTAAATAATCGAACACGCAAATACAATATCATAACATTGTAATCCTTTTTTATAAAATGTGCCGTCTTTTAAGACATTTAAAAAATACGACTCTTCTTATAATAGATACGTAATACTGCATTCTATTTTAAGGCGCCATGGCAATGAACTTGAGTGTATATAAAAACAAAACTTAATTATTCCAAGAACAACCCTTTTGTATTTTTAATTAATTCCTTTTACTCAACCAGCCAATTTTTTTTTTCTTTAACGATATAAATAATTCATGAGTGAAACTAAAAAAAATTATATAAAACCAAAGTAGCTAGAAAGCGATGGTAATAAAGGTATCGGCTATACTTTATACCTTTCGTCGAATTTCCAAGTCCCAGTGGTATGATGGTTATTTTTTTTTATTTTAGTTCTAATCTTTATATATAGTTTCCCTGTTCTCTTCGACCCCCCCCCNTTCGCCCCCCCCCCACCCCCATCACATTTCCCGTTAACCACACCTAACGAGAAAGAATACAGCGACCAACAGATGGCAGATAGCAAACTAAAAGCAAAAATCGATTGAAAAAGTGCTTTTTTATTTTTCTCTATTACGCCAAACCCACACGCACAACCAATACAGGATCGGGAAAAATGTTGGCGTCATTTACAAGAGTTCAGGCAGTTAAAACAGTCCTTTTTGTTGAAGTTGAATACCGCGAACCTCTAAACTTTATGGACCAATCGCTGTTGTTTTTGCGCCGCTCGTCTTAAATCGTCATTAGTCAGGCCTTTAAAAGCAGTTGGGAGCAATTAATGATTCTTCTTTTTAATAGTTTGTCGTGAAAGGATTATTGTGGTCCAGTTATTATTGTTTAGTTTGTTTTTTAAATATTTTTATAGGAAAAAATGGGGTGTTCTAATACCAAAGCTCTTCCAAATGGTGTGGGAGCCGAGACATTGAATAATACCATGAATGTTTTGAGTTCCAAAGCTATAGAAGAAGGTGAGAAAATTATCAATTCGGCTCAGGAAAAAGTTCTTGATGAAGGGGAAAAACTTGTAATGCAAGCACAGGAAATTATAGGTAAGAGATTTTGAACTAAATATAAAAATTACTTTAATTAGAACAGCCTTTATTGCTTAACTTTGAAAAGTGTTTTGCTCTTAACATATAAACTATTTCAGAAGTTTTGAACTTGAAGCCTTATTTAGATTACCGAAGGTTAATATTAGAAAAACTTTTTTTGAAGTAATATTACATTCAGCGTAATTTCAAGTTTGTGAAAAACCAGTTTTAATTAATGAAGTGAAGTTTATTTTCTCAATGTTCTAAAATAAAATTTTATTTTTACAATTTAAGAAGTTTTCAAACTACAATTGCTATGGTATACTTAACTATATTGGTTTTTAAGTGAAATTAATGACTCGAGACTTTTTATGTTATTGGTTAGACAAGAAGCTCTTCAATTCTACAACATTTTAGATTGTTTATTCTTTAAATATACATGTTTTGTTCTAAAAACATTTAATGTTTGGCCGAAACTTTTCTAGATATTATAAGTTGGCTGACTAAAACTTCTATTAAATCTTCCGAGCATTTGGAAGTTTTGCCTAGATTTTAATAAACTAATTATAAATTAATTCGAAGAAATCAATTTTTAGTTTACTAGATTAAAACTTTTAGTTTCAAGGTTTCAGTTGTGTTTTCTTTTAGCATAACTCTCTAGTAACTATATAGCTATCGTGATAACCTACTAAACTTATACATTTAACTAGATTTTAACTGTTTATTCTTTGTAATCTGAAGTCTAAATTAATTTTGTTTATAGGTATTGTGTAATATAGTTAGATAAGCATTAAAATGTCTATTTTTAAACTTCTCCAACTTAAACTTTTATATCGTGGTCATAAAATAGCTGTTGGAACCTGCTTATCTGATTTTTAGTTTTCCTTATCAATCGTAGAAAAATTTCTAAGGATTTAGAAACTTATCCTTTGCTGAAGCTTTTTTTAAATCAATATCTAAAAAGCTTATCTTTCTCCAGAACATTGGAATTAAACTAATTATATCAAACTTGAAACACAGCGTATTTCGTTAAAAAAACATAATTTACGTACTATTTTCCTAAACTGTCTTAGAAGCGACAGTTCAATAAATTTGAATCACGCACGTGTGAGTCAGATGTGAAAACTTTATTTTTAATATTTTCATACTTCTGGTAGAGTATTTACTGTTACGGGTGACTCGTCGTTGACTGACTGCTCTCTGCCATACATTTCACTTTTAAAGTATGCTTAAATTTTAAAATTGCACTTGCTAGTATTTTTTAAATTTAGATTTGAGCAAATTAAACGTGTTTATAAAATACTTCATTACTATGTTTTGCTCGAACATGAAACAAATTTTAATTTTTGCAAGAAATATTACTTAGTACAGTTTTTGTAGGGTGCACTTTTATTCGCGCACCTATTTTATGGGATCAAACATTTGACAGCTCTGTATTAAATTTTTTGGATTATATTTTTAGATCAAACCGCTCCGATAGTTTTCTTCTGAGGTTTTGCTGTTTTAGGTAATAGAGAATCCCACAATATTTATTCAATTTTCATTTCCCAGTCTATTTCCGTACCTTGATTAAAATACGCAATGCTTATAATTGGTTCAGTACTAACTCTTATACCATTGCTTGATTAAATCTTTTCAGCTTTAATTGAGGTTTGTTGATAAGAATCCATTGAAAACGTGCTTAAAGATTTTTAAATGACAGCTTGCACTTATTAGTTATAAAGTATTCGTCAAATCTATATAGTATATGAAAAGAAAAATCCTGTCAGATCATAGTTTTTGTAAACTAGGTTTTTAAAATATAATCGGAACAAATTAAGTAATTTAAATTTGTTACCTACAAGAGATAACTAGTTGTAAATTGAAAGTTTTTAAAGAAACTTCACAGGATTTCTGCATCATTTTTTAAGAAAGCTTAATATTGTGAATAAAATTGCAAGCTTATCCATTTTTCAAACAAGAACTCTGTAACAATACTTTAATATTTATTGTAATTTATAAGCAGTACTAGATTTTTAATATGCTGTTTGGTGTAAAAAAATAGCTGGTTTCTTGTAGCCATAATAGTTTAAAAGTAATAGATTTTCTTGCTCTGAGGAAAACTATTGATTTCTATTTTGGTAGCAGTTAACTTTTACTGCGAAGAATTCGATTCAATTGCTTCATGTGTTTGCCTGATATTTCTTCGAAACAATTACAGAATTAATTATGCAGGGCCATAATTTCTCAGACTTAAAGTAGTTTAACCTTTTTAATTTTATTTTATGCTAAATTTGCTGTTCATTTACTTTTTAACCTTGTCGAACAAATGAGACCTATTCAACTTAAAATTTAATCAATGTAAATTAAGTTTATAATTTTCAGTGCAATAATTAAAATTCTGGTTTTAAGGCAGTCTGTCCCCTCTATATTAGTCTGCTGACCCAGTAATAAGTCCATTATAAATGATAATTCTGTCTCTCAAATCTTTGAATTAATAATTTTAGCGTGATGCAGTAGTATTGTAAAGTGATTACAATAATAGTTTGCTTCATACATTTTCCACAAAATGTAAAAATCATTCTGCAAGGAGGATTCCTTACTGCGAATTTCACCTGCGAGGAAAATTTTTATCAAATTGCATTCAAAATATTTTCCATATAAGGAAGTTGTTGTCCCCAAATAATGAATGCTTCATCTTTATGTATTCAACTTTCGTCAGTTTTGAAGAAAGTTTCAATTAAAATTTCTGTGCAACTGATTCGTCGCTTTCCCTTGTGCCTTTCTTTTAAACTACTCTCAATGTTTCAGCGAAATTTATTTTAAATACTATTGTGTATTTTTAATAAAGTCAAAATTGCATACTTTCTAACATATTACATGGACTATAATCTTGTAAACATTTACTTAAATACATGCAAAAATAAAATTTGAGTCCACTATAGACAAACTTTTCTCCTGTTCTTTCGAAGAATGTGATAACATTGAATAGCAGATCGGACGAGACCACTAGAAAAGTTTTCTATAACGATGTTTATATATATATATATTCATTATAGCTCAGTATTTTGTACCGAGATTAAAATAAACGTTCTGCCAACTTTTTAAATTAAACTTTTCTCTTACTCAAATAAAAAAATTATTGTCAGAATAGATCTTGTAATATTTATAAATTTTTTCATGTGGTATTTATAATACCTCACTAGTAAAATGCGCATTTCTAAAGCCTAGGGCTAAGTTTTGTAAACATACTTCAGATTAATCACTCGTCAGATTAAATCTTTTAATTTTATCTTCGATTCTTTAATCAATCTTGCCTAAAAACAATTCTGTTAAGAACTCTAGACTGCGGAACGGAGGTTGATGCCCCATCGACAATTTCGATCAATTTTTCTTTAATTCTACGAATAATTTTCTTAAAGTAGTAAGGTAATTGTTCAGGAATAGATTGTACTTGGAAACTATTCAACTGACTCTTTTGTATTGAATGTCAATGTTCTTAGGAGTTTAATAATCCGATAATAGGAAAATTTAATCAAAGATGCGTTCTGTTCTGTTTCATAAAGTGTTATAAATTTGAGTTTATTAATGTATTTCTCTGTAATTTAACGTTAATCGAAATTAATAGTATTTGGCAAATTAACATTTAACTTCAAATTACATAAATTCTTTTAGCTTCAAAAATTTAGATTAATCCTTTACGTTTACATTTTAACATTAAATCTACTTTTAACGTCTACTTTAACATTAAATCAGCTTTTCAAATATCTAAATTGGCAGACAAACGCTGCTATAATCGTACATAAACTATCTCTAAAAAAATTTTTTTAAATTTCATGAATCATAATTTTTAAAACTTGAAATAATTGACATGAACTAATTTTCATTAAAATTCAACCCCCTGAAACCAAATGGCCCATATATTGTAAAATTTTAATACCGTAAAATGAACTTTAACCTTTTACCTAGCAATTGTAATTTTAAAATTATAATTGGATTAATTCTCGTAGGTTGGAGAGAAATGAGAAATTATAAGAATGATAATTTTGTTTTTCGGAAAATCTTATTTTATATAATTATATTGTTACATAACCAAATTGTGAAAAAAATTAAAATATCCGGCAATGTGAAAAAAGCATAAATTAAAACTTATGTATTTACAAAACTTATTTTAACAATGAATTTTTAAAATTTAAGACTATTTTCTTCTTAACTAGATATTTAATTAACCTCATATTCTTCTTAAAGCTCGAATCTCGAGAGTTTAAAGAATTTTTATTTAAGAAAACTATTTTGAAGCTCAGTGTAGTTTCCTACTCCTGCTCTTAGTTATTAAAATACTGCCATACAATTGGAAAACACAACGAAAGTGCTCCAGCTTAGATTTCTAAGAGTGTTTTTTTTTTATTTTCTTTGCTAATTCTTAATGCTTAATAATGCTTAACTATTTTCTAATGCTGTGAACACTGAGATAGAACAAAAAAACTGATAAAATTTATTTTTAATAAAATTTGTAATAAAATTTATTTTTAATTTTCTGTCTCTTCCGTTGATTCACGGATTTCCGTCGCAAGTTATTATATGCTCCATACTTCCCCTCTCCGTTTGCATGATATCCAAATTTTTCCCCATGTCAGTATATTCTCATTTCTCACTACTTACTGAAACCTACTGCCGTAGGAAATGCAAGATTTTTCTTAATAGATACGGAGAGGGAAAAGTGTGGAGAGTGGAAAAATCTCAACCTTGACACTTATTCTTTAAACAGAGTATCAAAGCTTGCCTCTTAGTTATCACGTTAAGTATCAAATATACTCCTGTATAGAACAAAGAAATTCAGTACTTTCAATCGTGATTTCTTCTAAATCTTAAATTTACAACTACTTGTTCTTACAATTCTGATTAATGAAATGAAATTTTAGAAAATTTTTCTGAAAATCCAGTGTGTAAGCGCTTGCATCCAACAGATTGATAAATGAGAAAGTAAAAAGATAAATACTAAGTAGTTAAAGACAAGATATTGTTTTAAAGAGTTCAGT